TTTTGAAAGACTAAGTGTGCAATATCTGGTATTCCTTCATATGATTGCAACCAATCATATATAGTAATAAAAGTTTACAAATTATTGGGAGGAATTATTATTGTGATTACTGGCGATGTATTTTTTCTTTTTTTGATGGCACCAAATTTGTCGTATATAATAGTCTATCAGGCTGTGTATATACAAGTTGGTAGCTAAAGAGAAAAAATACATACATCTTCGTTATTAGGAGGCAATCCTTATGAGAAAAAATACTCCAAGGATGTAAAGCGTATGAGGAAACGGTCTTGTAATATTATAGCAAACAATAAACTGCTGCCTTTTTTAAAATGATAAGAAATTATGATTAAAAAAAATCTATCCTGATACTCGTAACAATATTGGCCAGAAAAAAGATGCCTCAATCTCGCTTGCAAATTATAATCGCAGATATGAAAATAATAATAAAATATTTTGGTTGCGTTCTCACGAAAATGGGCGATGGAAGAGCCCTTTCTATATTATAAATATCCAAAATATTGTAACAATCATAAAATTTTGTCGATATTATGAGCAATATTATAGATTTGTATTCAAAATATGTACGCGACGCAAACAGATATCCGTGTAAAGTCGTTGCTTCTACGAGACGATAGAACAGAAATAGAGTAGAAATCCAACATATTTTCTGTCTCTACATATTTAACACAATGCGAAAAGCTTGTATTTTATTGCTCTTTCCAAAGTATGCACATATCCTTGACAATTACTCTCTACATAATGATATCGGTGTAATGTAACTATAAAACGTTGGTAATATACCGACACTTTTAGTTACGTTTAGATGAAATACTCACCAAATTCAGTACCAACCATCCTTTAATAACACTCTATTCATGTAAAAAAATTTAATCCGATATTTCAAATTTTCCGAAAATTACAGCCTGTACAGACATTTCTCAAAAAATTCCAAATTTTATAAAAAATAAACCCTTTCACCGATACTCACCAAATTCAGGAGCAACCATCCTTGAATGATAAACTATCCATGTAAAAAAAATTTAACCCGATATCTCAAAAATTGCGAAGGTAGAGGTTGTACAATATATTGCGTACATACACACATATACACATTCACACATACATACATCCATACAGACATTTTTTAGGAATATGATTTTTCGACGTTTTGGAACATTTTAAACACATTGGCATAGAAAACTCGAAAAAAAATTTTGTCACGAAAAAGCTTCCTCTATGAGGAAGCAAAACAGTAATAAATGAATAAATAAAACAGCATACATAAAATATTGAATGGTTATACATGATAACTTTAATATTTTTATTATGGAAAGGTGATTATCTCAACAATGGGTTGTAGATAATTATATTAAAATAGAAAAATATATAATAAATTACTGAAATATTATTAAATTAATAATAATAATCACTAACATAATAATTATAAATTTAATAATAAGAAAAAGTAAACGTAATAAAACGTTAATAAATAAATCTAAATTGTAGCCGCGCCTTCGATTTACACGTCCACATTAACAGAATTTATTTGTTTCGCCGATCAGAGAGACAGAACGTAAATGATTTGAGCGGGGTTAGTTTGTGGAAAAGCGTTTATTCCTTTCGACACCAACTCCCGGAACGTCTTATGTAATCGCACGCGACAGCAAGATATAATCGGACACGCGAATTTTCAGTCTAACTATAATTATATGAGCGTTAGACTTTCGGTGTGCTCCCGGTGAAGGTTTGCGACGAAGTCCAGACGAAAAGCCCTCCTTTTCGATCCACGGACAATAGTCCCGGTCGATACGTGTACCGCAAAAGAAACGGAATTTCGATCGTTAGATTCCGAGAGCCAATCGGCGATCGACAACGAGATGTTTGTCAGAATAAATTAACGCGGAAAAGTCATTCGGATCGTCATGTAACGCGGAAATCGGGCGGGAATTTAGGCAAGCCTCGATTTGACACAGCAGCGTAGCGAACTCAATCTGCGATAATGTTCGGGAACCAATCGTTCATTTCAAATGAAACTTTAATCCTTTGACACCGGCTTCCCAAAGTCCGCCGAAATGCGGAGCGGAGGGAGGTATAAAATGCCATTTTACGTTATCATTAGCAATAGCGTCTTGTATTTGAGGGTCGGCGACAAGTCGCTGAAAGGTAGTGTATAATTCGCGGTCCGCGCCTTGAAAATTAGTGCCGTTATCACTGTACATGTCGGATGGAAGACCGCGACGGCTTGCAAATCTCCGGAGAGAAAACCGTTAGTAGCGTAATCATCTACGTATTCTAAATGGACGGCCTTTGTCGAGAGACAAATAAAAACGGCAACATAATATTTTTTGGATCGTTGGCCGCGGCCGACTGACGGAATAATATTCATCGGCCCGGCGTAATCGACGCCTGTGTGCGAGAACGGAGCCGAAGGCGTGACGCGGGGCCGGGGGAGATTCCCCATCAGCTGTTGCGAGGTACGCGCGCGTTCGCGTACGCATTTTACGCAACTACGTATAAAGGATTTTACACTGGTGCGCGCTGAAATTATCCAATAATTTTGGCGTAAAATTCTTAAAATTAATTGAGTGCCTCCATGAAGAGAGGCTTTATGAGCTTGAGCGATTAATAAATCCGAAATTCGATGTTTCGGTAAAATTATAGGATGCCGTTCATCATAACTGAGTGACGAATTGTCAATCCGCCCGCCAAGGCGAATTAATTTATCTTTCCCGAGAAAGGGGTGAAGCGATAACAAAGAACTGGATCTCGGCAGTAAACAATTATCGTTTAACGCTTGAATTTCGGATGGAAAATGACGTTGTTGCACGTAACGGAGCCAAAACGAGGAAGCTTCTTTGAGTTCGGCAGCGGACAAGCACGTCGTATTCGCGGTCGTATTGGTCGCGCGACATTTTAGATTATTAATAAAACGTTGCACGCGTGCCGTGACTCGAATTAACTTCTTCCACGTAGAGACTTCGTTCGGTATTTTCCACTCCAGAATATGTTGAGCATGACAAACGATCGTATTTCGCGTTTCGGTTTGGATTATCTGACGATCGGCATCAAGTTGACCTTTTAATTTATCATGTATCGGCCACGCGGTAGAAGGGGAACGCAACCAGGCAGGGCCAGCCCACCAAAGTTCGAAATCGCGGAATTCAGCGGGTGACAAACCTCGCGACGCGCAATCCGCTGGATTTTCTTTAGATGGAACGTGATTCCATTTAACCGACGGCAGCCGGGTTTGTACTTCCGATACACGATTCGCCACATAAGTAGTCCATCTTGATGGATGGCCTCGTAACCATGCGAGCGCGACAGAAGAATCTGTCCATCCGTACATCGGAATATGCTGCAAATTTAACGATCTTTGCACGAATTCTAGCAATCGAGTTAATAAGACTATGGCATTCAATTCTAGACGCGGCACGCTAATCGTTTTAATCGGCGCTACATTTGATTTTGCAGTGATTAAGACTACTGAAAATTCGCTGAGCGATCGGAGAATTCTTAAATAAACGACAGCGGCGTATGCGCGATTAGACGCGTCGGCGAACCCGTGCAACTCGATAGCCAGATTTTCCGGATGCATTCCAGTCCATCGCGGAATGCGAATTTCTTTTAAATTTATGAATTCCGCGCAATATTTTTTCCAGGACTCTAACAAGTCCGCCTCGATAGGAGAATCCCAATCAAGTTTTCTTAGCCACAGTTCTTGAATCATAATTTTCGCGGTGATTATTACCGGAGAAACCCATCCCAGTGGATCGAAGAACTTCGCGATAAATGATAGTATCAAACGTTTCGTATTCATATTGACCGAAGGTGACTCGATTTGAAAACGAAAAGAATCTTCTCGTGGTATCCACTCAAGTCCGAGCACTTTAAGCGTATCATCCTTATCGAATGTACGAGCGATAGCGAGTTTATGCTCTCCCGGAGGAATGTCTTTTAATAGTTCTATAGAATTGACAGCCCATTTGCGTAAATGAAAACCGCCTTGCGCCATCAATTTCGTAAGCTGATCGCGACTTTCCTTTAGCGACGGAACTTCATCGGCGCCAAATAGAACGTCGTCGACGTAAATAAAATCTTGTACTATTGCTTGTGCTTTTGGAAAAGAATGACCTTCGTCGAGCGCTAATTGATGAAGTCGCGGAACCGGTGATTGAATTAGAAGTTCCGGTAGGACCGGATAATATCCATCCGAAAGCAGTAAACTGGGCCGTCGGAGTTACGGTCGGCCCATGTTTTACCTTTTGCTTTAATAACGATCCATATAAATCTGATCCGATGAGCAGATGGATCGGATGATTGCTAAACGGATCGGGATCCGCGAGAGATAACTTCCGTACATGCGGACAATAATCTACGGTTTTAGTTCTTGAGCCAGCGTATGACGTAATTTTTTGATATACGAAAGCCGTCAAAGAAAAAGTTGAGGAACCTCGCCCGTTACAAGACTCGAGAGTAAGAGACACCTGAGATTTCGCTACGCCACTGTATCGTTCGCCGAAACACTGTACGTGGAGGTTCGCGTGGTAACGTTTCGTGCGCATAGTTTGACACAACGATTCCGAGATAAAACTAACAGCCGAGCCTTGATCTAACAACGGACGAACTTTAAAATTACGTCCTTCGATGGTACGAAGTATTTCCCATGCGGTGGCTAGTAACACGTTCGGCGGATTTTTCAGCGGCGAATGAATCGTTTGAACGGAAGCGACGGCGGTCTCGTTCTTTATCTCAGGGGCGGCTGAGCCGCCCGGTTGAGCGTTAAGCGTTTTCTTTTTGCGAAACAGAATTTTAACTAATCTTCTGTACCGGTATATTCGAGTCACAATGCAAGAGCGTATGATGTGCTCGTCGGCACAAATTACAACGTTTTTTACTCTTGCAAGAGGTCGGGAAATGGCCGACTTTTAAACAATTAAAGCAACATTTATGCGATTTGAGAAACTGAGTTCTCTGTTCGACGGATTTACGCTTAAACTCGTCTATATACATAACATCAAATTATGATTGCCGGAACAATTCAAACATTTTTCGGTGGCTACGTTATTCACCGAGGCCCGATTAGAGCCTTTATATTTATGAGACGAAGTATCCGCATTTAACTTAGAATGATCGGTAAGACCTCGAATTCGCAGCGTCATAAAATCGCGAATCTCTTCATACGTCGGAGATGCGGTTGATTTACTGCATTGCAGATTCCACTCATTACATGTGCGTGGACTAAATTTTTGCGAAACAATATAGACTAATAAGTCATCCCATTTTTCAACAGGTCTGCTTAAATTAGTTAACGCGGCAACGGTATCGCGTAAACCTTTGAGTTCGACAGCGGATTCTGTTTTCATAATAGGCAAAACTGCGAAAGCATTAATATGGGCATGAATAATCGCGTTTTGATTATCGTACTCTTCGATAAGTAATTTCCACGCACCATCGTAATTTGTGTCTGCAATCTTAACATGATTAATTAATACCGCGGCTTCGCCCGTGACACTGGCTTTTAAATAATGTAATTTCTGCGTATTCGACAGCGATTCTTTCGAGGCGACGAGCGATTCGAATATACCGCGAAAGTTTTCCCATTCCGCGAAATTACCGGAAAATTTCGGCAACAGGATTCGTGGTAATTGCAATGAAACCGCACTAGACAATTCGCGAGAAGAAACGTCGCTTACCGATGATGCCGCATTCGAGTCGCACCGGGTGAATTTACCTATCACGTCTGCGAGGTAGTCCGCCGCTTCGTGGTAAACGTCCTCGGCCGCAAAGAATTCCTCCTCGGTGAAATATTTGACGGTACGCTGTTCGTCGGCCGTTGCTATCTGCTGAAGCTGGACGTTGAGACGTTGACACCTTTCCCACAATGTCTCCAAGGTGTCTAGTCGACTCTTCGCCTTGTATTGCGTGACGTTGGCCTTGCCCATCTTCTTAAAGTTGGGGAATACTCGCTTCATAGAGCTTATTGTAATAGATTGGCGCGTGAAAGCGTGCGACAACTATGTGTAACTGCGGATTACGCAGTACGCACTCTGAGGTGCGGGGTGCTAAAGAGCACAAAGATTGCACTTAAGCTGTGCAAAGCGCTAAGAAGCGCGAGATTTGCGCGTCACTGCGAATGACGCAGGGTTATCTGTTTTTCCAATATCCGGCTCGAAGGACCATTTAATGTAGCCGCGCCTTCGATTTACACGTCCACATTAACAGAATTTATTTGTTTCGCCGATCAGAAAGACAGGACGTAAATGATTTGAGCGGGGTTAGTTTGTGGAAAAGCGTTTATTCCTTTCGACACCAACTCCCGGACCGTCTTATATAATCGCACGCGACAGCAAGATATAATCGGACACGTGAATTTTCAGTCTAACTATAATTATATGAGCGTTAGACTTTTGGTGTGCTCCCGGTGAAGGCTTGCGACGAAGTCCAGACGAAAAGCCCTCCTTTTCGACCCACGGACAATAGTCCCGGTCGATACGTGTACCGCAAAAAAACGGAATTTCGATCGTTCGATTCCGAGAACCAATTGGCGATCGACAACGAGGTGTTTGTCAGAATCGAACGATACGAAAAAACCACAAAAACGGAATGAAAACAAGGCTTCGAACGTAACGTCTCGCTTTAGAACGTTCGAGAAGCAAAATTAATAATATAATTTATAAAACTCTTACTTTCTCGAACATAAATAATTAAACATATAATAAATAAACGTATTGTATATAATTATATACATAAAATGTAAACAAAATTTTTAAGTCAGTTAAATCATTAAACCATTTAAATTTATTTAATATCTTTTGTTTGCACATTATTATATTATTATATATTATTATATTATTTATTATCAATTATTATTAGAGCAACATACGTAAAATATCGAATGGCTACACGTGATAACTTTAATAATTTTATTATGGAAAGACGATTATTTCAACAATGTGTTATTGATAATTATGTTAAAATGTCCCGGGAAAAAATTTTGATGTATGTTCAAATACGAACATATATTGTTATATATTATCATATATGATTATATATAAATTTATATATGATTGCAAAAGTTTTTATATATGATTGTATATAATCATATATATTCATATGTTTTACGGTCTTGTATCATGTATGTTATCCGGTATGATAATACCAAGTTCAGTGGTCTACCATGGTGCCATATATTATTATGTATAATCTCATATAGAGATATGTGTAATTAAATACATAATCATACTATATTTTATATGTATCTGAGCAATTTAAATGAAACCATATAATCGCATGTGTAGTTGTATCTAGGTATATATATATAACCATGTATGATCAGAGATTTAATTACAAATATTATATATATTTTTTAAAACTAACAAAATACTTATATATATTGAAAAAAGTTGCGCTACAATGAAAATTTATGCTATATATATAAAATTTATTTATTTCCAATATTTAAAAAAAATATATATCTAATAAATTGCAATATATCTATAATATATAAAAATCATTGAAAATGTCTACAATCGATTGACAGTATTATTTATAGATTATTAATATTTTTAGATATGTTAGATATATTAGTTTAAATACTTTAAAGTTTTTAAAAATATACTGATGTGTGGGAGTAATGCTTAATTAAAATATAAAAAAGCTTTTATTGATGAAAAATGATCGATTTTTATTTATTTTATTTATAATAAATATAATTTCAATTTGCTTAGATAATTAAAAAATTAATGATGAAGAAAATCAAAGTGTTATAGTACATGTATATATTTATATTGATACCGTATTATTTTACCAAACTTTGCGTTTCAAATTAGGTCGCTTACATAAATAATTATTAATTTTTATAAGATGACATATTGATTTAATATCGGTTGATTTTATTATAACATAGTTGTTACTGTTTACAACGAGTATTACGTGCTCTATTTTCATTTGTTTCTTTACATTATAAAATATTCTTTGGTGTTCTACATTGAAACATTGAATGACTAACCATAGTAAAGGATTATCTATCTTAGTAAAAAAAAAATTAATCGATCCATAAAATGTTTTTTTATTTATAAGATTTACTTGAATACTATAACTATTAATCTTTGTAGCTTTATAAATTATTGATGTATATATTTCATCTTTTATTTTGGCTCGAGCGTAAATGTATAAATTTTCAACATTTTTATCATTTGAGTTTAATAAGTCAAATTGCCAATCGTTCAATTTATCGAAAAAATTTTTCCCAATTCGATATGCTTTATTTTTATTAATTACATTATTTTTTTCTACTATTTGTGTTTTGAGTATTTGTAAACCCCGCGCAATGCTTAGGTTATTTATCATTTCTTGTCCTATGTGTTTTGTGCCATGAACACTGTGAGCTAATATTCCATTAAAATTTTCAAATGGGAA